CAAACTTTAAAGGCGCATAACTGGCTTCAAAATTTAGCTAGGACGATGATAATTGGCTAGTTTTGTAGGAAATTTCAAGAGGATCAGAATGATATAAGAATTTATAAAAAATTATTAAAATGACCCGATTTTTCTCGGTTTCTGTGAAAGATATCGAAAAGTGATTAACTAACGAAATGATATCTCAACAAATAAATCTTATGGTACTGTTAAAATGTAAATAGTTGAAAACTTTTTGATATCAGTTTCAGAAACCGAGATAATTTGATAACTGTCTGATCTACTTGAAAATATCAGTTTTACGTGAGATCAGTGACAAAAAGATATTTGCATAATGTACCGATATGTATTATGTCCTTTCCCGATCTGTCAGATTTCTTATCCTTCCCGAAACATCTCAATTAGATCTCCTAATGCGTTCGATGTACTTTCTGATCTCTCTGCACTTGTTCCGTACTTAGTACCTGGTCTCTGGGAGATCTAGATATAGTTTGGGGTCAGGAAATTCAATTCTTCTTTTTTTGCCTATCTGGAAGCTTTCTTCTTTGAATTTTGAAATTTTTTAACATTAATAAGGATATAAAAATTAATTTGACACATTTTACTAGTTTACAGTTTATTGGTAACGTTTATGGCTCTTCAGATAATTAGGATTAAAGATGACAGGGTGCATCGACAGGTGGTTGGGGCAATAAACTTTGACCTTAATTATCTCGGTTCAGAAACAAGATAGAACAAATTTGAAAAATTAGTAAAATGTAGAAAATGAAATGTTTCACATTTTATCAGTTGATAGTTTTTTAAGATCTTCAATGGGAACCAAGATAATTACGGTCAAAGTTAAGACGTCCTCCGAAGATGGGAAAGTTGTGCTTGTGTTGCTGTTCATAATTTAACCTCAATTATCTCGAGTTCTAAAATAGATACAAAAAATTGCTTAACTATTGAAATGTGGAAAATTCAATTTTCTACATTTTACTAATTTACAAATTTGTTTTATCTTGTTTCTGAATCGAGATAATTAAGCATAAAGAGTGCACAGACAGAGTAGCGCCACCCTCCCTTCTTCAGAGGAAATGCTAACTTTGACCCTCATCATCTCGGCTCTTCGAAAAGCTAATTAAAAGAATAAATTAGTAAAATATGTAAAATTTAATTTCCTACATTTTACTGATTTATAAATTTGTTCTATCCTTTTTCTGAAGCGAGATAATTAGAGTCAAAGTTAACTGAACCTGTCGATGCACTATTTAGGGCGCCTTGTTTTATCCTAATTATCTCAATTACTCATCTTTTATTAGTTTATCAGTTTTTGATATCTTTCCCGGGGACCGAGCTATAAGGATCTCCCATCTAGGTCCATCTAGATAATTGGGATATCTAGACTACAATCTGACTACAGCTAGTTTTGTAGTGGTCTCCTTTGTCATAATCATGTACCATCTGTAATACCCTGTTTTCTTGGTCCCCCTCCTTTTCTCTGCGTCTCTTCCTCTCTCACCTGTCATAAGTGTCTTGTACTATATGCCTTCCCACAGAACTTCTTTGTTTTCCTCACTTGACCACCCACCCAAACATAGGCGGTCCAGGGTTTCAAGTGTTTTTTGAGGCCAAAACTGGTCCACTTTTCGAAACTACTGAAAATTGCAAAAACCACTCTTCTCTGTGTGACCCCTTTTGGGAGCAATACTTTTCGTTTGCCCTCACCAACTTTCAAATTTAAACTCAAATATCTCAGTTTCTGTAGAAGATATCAAGAATTTGTCAATTGATAAAATATTTGTGATATTATGATAAACTTTTTATCAGTTGACCACTTTTTCATATCTTTAACAGGAACCGAGATATATGAGCTCAAAGTTTATCCTGATTTTCAGTCACATTGGCGCCTCCACCAACCGCCGCCGCCAACATGGACGGGAGCATCGCCCGTCCCAGACGTCAATCATTGCTCATCGGACAGCGATCGCTTGACGTCTACAATGAGGTTGATCAGGGTAAGAAAACACGCTCTATTGGACTTTTAAGGGACTTTTGAAAATCTCAAATTCAGCCAAATCGCGGCACTGGATTTCTAGTGGAAACAAGTTTTTTGGAACGCCTACAATAGTACATCAAACTTGTTCAAGTAGTCTGAAATTTTTAGAATGTACTAAACAAGACTATAGCTTCATTTTTGTAGTTGATACTTTTTTCTGAAAACTGAGTCCTGAGGAGATAAGCCACACCGGCGCGATGGACCCCCTCTCCCAGACAGACAGGCGCCCATGGCGCTTCCACGTGGCATACCTCCCTAGGACCACATTTTACAAAAATGTTGTCAACTACAAAAATAAAGCACAAGTCTTGTTTAGTATACTCTCAAAATTTCAGCCAAATTGAAAAAGAGTATCATACTTTTGTAACGCCCGAAAAATTCCAGGACCCAAATTCGTGCGCTGGATCATCGGGAAATTCCGGAATTGGGGATTTCTGATTGCCAAACACGCGTGGCTCGCTATCATCATCTGCCTTATCATCTCATCACTAGCCATGGTCAAGATTCTGTTAACGAAACAAGCCAACGATATTACCGGTTATACGCCATACGGAGCACGTGCCAAGGATGAGTATTTGGAGTATCAGAGGTAAGGAAGGCGGAGGGGGAAGGGCAAGGGGAAAGGCAAGCTAGGATAAGCTAAGGTAAACTAGGGCAAGTACGGCAAGCTAGAGCAAGCAAGGCAAACTAAGGTAAGCTAGGGCAAGTTAGGACAATCTAGGACAAGGTAGCCAAGGTAGGGCAAGTTGGAGCAAACTAGGGTAAGGCACGGCAAGCTAGGGTGTGTAAGGACAAGCTAGGACAAGCAAGGGCAAGCTAAGACAACCTAGGGTAAGATAGGGCAAGATAGAACAATCTATAGTAAGCTAGGACTAGCTAGGGCAAGCTAGGGCAAGCCAAAAACCACAAATGTCGAATGAGAAATGGGTTGGGCTAGTTTAAGACGAGTTAAGACAAACTAGGACAAGTTAAGACATGCTAGGACATGTTAGGAGAGGTTAGGGCAAGATAGGGCAAGATAGGGCAAGATAGGGCAAGCTAGGGCAAAAATGAACATGATAGGGCAAGCTGGGGTAAGTTAGGATCAGCTAGGGCGAGTTAGGACAACGTAGGGCAAGGTAAGGCAAGGTAGGGCAACCTTGGACAAGGCAAGGCCAAATTTAGCACAAACCAAAGACAACAAATGTCAAAGGTTGGGCAAGTTTAGGACAAAACTTATCCTCTCTTTGCTTTTTTCCGATCCTTCTCTAGTTTTGCCGACTAACTTGCCCTAAAAATGCCCAATCCTATCTATGCCCAACTTGCCCTAAATTAGTCCGGTTCTTGCCCAATGTGCCCTATCTATGCCCAACTTCCCCTATCTATGTATGCCCAACTTGCCCTAAAGATGTCTGATCCTTGTCCTATCTATGCCAAACTGCCCTAAGCATGACCGATCTTTGCCCTATCTATGTCCTATCCTTGCCCATGCTCTTCGCCAACTTGTCCTACCTATGTCCAACTTGCCCTAAAGATGTCTGGTCCTTGCCCTAAAAAGTCCTATCCTTTCCCTAACTTGCCCTAAGCATGCCCAATACTTGCCCAACCCTTGCCCAACTACTTCAAAATCTCTTTTTCTTTCAGATTCTTCTCGAGCTCCGGCCTCCCAATCGCTGCCTATCTCTTCATTGTTGCCAAAGACGAGGGAAGTATGTCCCGTCCGGACTATTTGGATGAGACGATTCAAGTGTTGAATTTCGCTCTCAATAACATCACAATGTACGATTCGATATCCGGAAAAAACGAGACGTTCAATCAGTTTTGTCAAAGTTTCTGCCAGATTAATGAGCCCGTTCGACAGTTTTATGTGAGTTTTTGAAATTTGGTTTGGCGGGAATTTGAATTTTGAAATTTCCAATTTTTGCAGAACGGGTACCAAATTCTGAGCGATGGAGAACAAAACACTAGGATTAAGATACAGTACCCTGTATCGGATATGTTCGGAAGACAGTTCTCACTTCAGCCAAACTTCTTCGGAGTGGAACTTTTCGATCAACCGGACGACGCCGCCAAGTTGTTGGATTCTGCTGATGGAGATTCGGTTTTGGGTGAGCTTTTGTAACTTTTTGGGATTTAGAAAATTGGAAATTTTTAATAAAAATTGGTCCACTGGAAGCGGAGATGTGAATTTTTAGAAAACGTTTTCGGAACCGTCTACTTTGAGCTCAATTATCTCAGTTCCTGGGAAAGATATCAAAATTTTGTCAACTAAGAAAATATTGGTGATATTATGATAAACATTTTGTCAGTTGATTACTTTCTGATATCTCCCACAGAAACCGAGCTCAAATGAGCTCAAAGTTAAGAGGTCGGCAGCCGTAGCTCAGCCGGCGCGAGCCGTCTTTTCAACTTTGAATCAATTTATCTTGGTTACTGTGAAAGGTACCAAAAAAGTGTCAACCAACAGAATGTTACTGATACTATGATAAACAATTTATCAGTTAACAACTTTTTGAAATCTTTCACAGGAAATGAGATCCATGACCTCAGTTAACGGTTCGGGGCTCACTCGAGGGTTACTTTAATAGATAGCGGTAAACTTTGAGGCAATTTATCTGGGTTCCTGAGAAAGATATCCGAAATTTGTCAACTGATAACATATTTTTGATAATATGATAAACATTTTAATAGTTGACCACTTTTTGATATCTCTTATAGGAGCCGAGATAAATCGACTCAAAGTTGAGGGTTGTGCGGACTTCTAAAAGTGGTGCCAACATTGAGCCAGTTTATCTCGGTTTCTGTAAGAGCTACCAAAAAGTTGTCAACTGATAAAATGTTAGGGATATTATGATAAACAAGTTATCAGTTGACTAATTTTGTACTACAAGCCTAGTTATAAAATTTCCAGAACTCAATGCGACTCGTCTCGTCGATCCAGTCTCCAAAATCACGAATGTGAAGTCAGTGAAAATGATAACTCTCCAATTCCGTGCCGAACACAAAGCCGGCTGGACAGATGCCCAGGTGAAGAAATGGGAGATGAGTCTTGTGGATATCTTCGAGCAGAGATACAACTCAAAACGTCTCAAAATCTACGCCTACTCTCAGTCGTATGTGGAAGAGGAGATGGTTCGAGGAGGCATCATTATGATCCCATACCTAGTCGTTGGATTCGCAATCATGTGTCTGTGCAGTTGTGTGTTGGTCATGATCCGAGCGTTGTACATGCATCAGGAGAATGGATATAAAGTCATTCTGGCGATTATGGCTTGTTTGACACCCCTCTTGGCTTGTGCTACCGCCTTGGCACTCATGTTCACTTGTGGGGTCCGATTCGCGTCAATCTTGTGTGTCATTCCGTTTTTGGTTCTTTCGATTGGTGAGTTTTGGTTATTTTATTAGAAAGTTTGGGTTGTAAGAATCGTTTTGGTATAAAGCAGACAGTGTTTAGTTGAGTAGCTGTTGATTGTGATCTTACCAGTCCGTTTACGCCCCTTCGGGGCTGAATCTCCTGGCCTCCGGTCGCCCTCCACCCTTTAATGTGGTGAAACCAAAGAACGTCTCCAGAAGACTCCAAAATCAAAATTTTGAAAAACCAAAAGTTTGGGCATCAACCAAGACACAATTCTGATCTGTCTGTCCAGGTTTCAGTTTGATCGGTTAACTTTGAATGAGTGCTAAGGTGCGCTACATACATACGCACATACAGAAACTAGTGAATGTTATTAGTAATGATAGCTTAACCGCTAGCTTTATGACCTGTAACTTTTTATATCGGCAAGGTACATCCCCTTATTTAATACCATTTTGTAGTACTTTTCAAGTTCTATCGAATCTATTTTAGTTGGTCAAAAAATATTAAGTCTGAATGAAGCTAGGACTGAAAGTTTAGCTTGATCCTTCTAGAGAGAGAGAGAGAGAGAGAAAATCCTATTAGGAATTTTTTTTTAACCCAGAGCTCTACTTTTTCTTTACATAAAACATACGATTTTTAAACCAAAATGATTCTTAGGACACTTTCTACAAGATTATAACAAAATAAAGTTTCCAGGTGTCGACTCCTCCTACCTAATGATCCATGAATGGCAGCGTGTGACGAAGCACATGCGGGAGACGCCTCGGAAGAAGGACAGTGTTGGACACAGAATGAGCGAAGTGATGGCAGAAGTTGGTCCGGCTATTCTGATCTCCTGTCTGACTAACATGTTCGCTGACTTCGTCGGATCGTTCACATCGTCTCCAGAAATCACACTTTTATGTACTGGAAATATGTTATCCATGTGGTTCGCATTCATCTATCAAATGACTTTCTATGCTGGATTAATGTCCATTGTTGGAGGATATGAGTTTGGATCTGATGAGGTTTGTGGGTTTAGAACATTTTAATAGATTTTCTGATTCCTAAAATGCAAAATTGATCGATTTCCGACCCTAGGATCTAGGCACAAAATTAACTCCAAAAAGACCTAGCCAGCAAATAACAGACAAGATTTAAGCGTCTACAAAAGTAGATCAAAATAGCTTGATTTATTTGAAAATTTCAACATATACGTTACAAAACTAGGGCTTCATTTTTGTAGTTTTTGAAAAATTTGGTCCTGACGAGATATGCCACGTGGAAGGCAGCATCCCCTTTTTGCCTCCTGATCGCTTGGTTCTCATCGAGCTTGTCTTCCATGTGCCATAACTTTCCAGAAACGAAAATTTCAAAAAATGTGTTAACTACAAAAATGAAGCCCGTTGCTTGTTTAGTATATTCTGAAATTTTCAAATCAATTGAAACTCTTTTAAGCAGATTTTCGAGCGCTTGAATTTGGCTTACTGAAAAACCTGTATTAGAAGGGTCTTTGAGATATTTGAGCTTAAAGTGTTCACTGTTTATTAATGGAAAATCGAAAAAAAAACAACTGTGCATTTTTTAGCAAATCAATTCATTAAAAAAATAATTTTCAGATAGACAAAAATCGAATGGAAATCAATATAGCTGAGAATCGAGTGAACATCGCTCGCCACCATCGTCCCCTGACCAGACAACCTTCCAAATTCCACGAAGCCACCCAGCCTATCATCTCGGATTCCCTCCAGAAGTACACACATCTCATGACGACTCCACTTGTCTTCGTTTCCATTTGTCTGGCCTACTTGGCTTATTTGGCATTCAGTGTTTATGGAATCACTCAACTGAATATCAATTTAACTGCTCAGAAGTTGTTCGCACTGGATTCGCCGTTGCTGGAGTTGGATGATTTGAGAATCAAATATCAGGTATTTAGGGAAAGATTTGAGCCTAATCTATCGAGACTCGTAGGGAATATAGGAAAACAAGGTCAACTAAAAAAATGTGGGAAAGTTAATTTTACATAGTTTAATAGCTTAGAACTCTTTGATATCTTTACTAGAAATCGAAATAAATGGGTTCTAAGGAATCAATCCCCTACAGTATCTCAGGTTCCGAAAAACTACAGTAATCCTAAAACTCTCAAAAAATGAAGCGACCATGGTTCTCAAATTTCAAAAAAGGAAACTACCGTAATCCTAAAATTTTAATTTGAGTGTTTTCGGAACACAGTAATCCTTAAAATTCCAAAAAACTACAGTAATCCTAACTCTCAAAAAATGAAACGACCATGGTTCTAAAATTTCAAAAAAGGAAACTACCGTAATCCTAAAACTTCAATTTGAGTGTTTTCGGAACACAGTAATCCTTATCTCCAAAAAACTATAGTAATCCAGATTTTCATGAAAATACAGTAATCCTAATTTCAAAAATGAATCTACAGTAATCTTCAATTTTTCAATTAGAAGTTTCCGAAACACAGTAATTTTCAATTTCCAAACAACTTCCGTAACCCGTATTTCTGAAAATAGAACTACAGTAATCCAGATTTTCATGAAAATACAGTAATTCCCCATTTCCTTAATTCTCATTTTTTGATTGCAAACTACAGAAATCCTAATCTTCCAAAACACTACCGTAATCCTCATTTACAAATCTACATATACGTCTCCAGCGCTTCAAGCAGCTAACTGGTGCCTGGTTTGCCGCGCCTCCGGCGCTTCAAACGCCGGAAAACCAAAATGAAAAAAAGAAGAAAAGAAGAAAAAAGACACCACACCATTTATTAAAAAAAAATAGCAAAGTTCGAATAGTGTACTGATTAGCCAGACTAGAAACTAATCTGTTGATCCCTTTCGCCACGTAGAGGCTCAGTACATGAAAGGGAAACAAGGTTTATTTGACCAATGGGATCACCTTCTAAAACCCATAGGGCGTGGAGGGAGGGGTCCCCCACCCCCTAACAAAAAAAACAAGAAGTCAGCCGAAAAACCCCTCTTTTCGGAGACCATTGTCGGTTAATTTTCACAAGCTCCTTCTCATCCCGATAAGAAGCCACATTGCATAGCACTTTTCATTGTTGTCTCAATTTTTTTAATCTTTGATAAAATCTTCTGCTACTCGGGGACGTTCAGTGATAGAACACCTAGCCATGAACCCGGAAACATGGCGACCCTTAGGGTCTTTTAGTACTTTTTTCGCATCGGACCAATCGACAGAAAAAAGCAAAAGAGACAAGAAATGAGCAGCGGAATGCAAAGGGCTTCTTACCAGGGAGAAGGTGCCACTGAAAATTATCCAACAATAAAGATTTAACGAATTTCGGATTTCACAGCACTTTTTTCAATACGTGGGAGGGGGCGGAACCTAATATTGATTGATTTAATAATTTATTGCTTTACGTGAATAATTTTTTTACTTTAAAAAAGAACAGAGCAAAATAAATATGTTAATTCTCGCCGCAGGCGCACCAGTTAGCTGTTTGGAGCGAGCGCTGGAGGCGTGTATGTGGATTTGTAAATGAGGATTACTGAAGTTCTTGAAAAATATGGATTTCTGTAGTTTTATATTTTGAATTAGGATTACGGTAGTTTTTAAGTTTTTTTTTGAAATCTTAGGGTTAAAGGTGGGGGGACATGAAAAAATAATGTTCTCGAAATTCCGTTCAAAGATGCCCCTCGAGGAGTTGAACTTATGAGGGCGATGATTGAGGGTGCGGCGCCGCTACCGACTGAGCCACGCGTGCAAAGAGAAAGCCGCTGCCCGATTGCATACATAAAGGCGAGGACGACAGCTGTACGCAGAGTGACATTAACCGTTGAACACTGTTACGGTAGAATGCATACTCTGGCCCCAAAAATCCCCCCGTAAAATCTCCTGTCCCCCCCCCCCCACCTTTAAGGTAGTTTTAATGTTGAAAATTAGGATTATTGTAGTGTTTTGGAAAGTTAGGATTACTGTAGTTTGCAATCAAAAAAAAAGAGAATTAAGGATTTTGTTATGTCTGAAAATCTGGATTACTGTAGTTCTATTTTCGGAAATACGGGTTACGGAAGTTGTTTGGAAATTGAAAATTACTGTGTTTCGGAAACTTTCTAATTGAAAAATTGAAGATTACTGTAGATTCATTTTTGAAATTAGGATTACTGTATTTTCATGAAAATCTGGATTACTATAGTTTTTTGGAGATAAGGATTACTGTGTTCCGAAAACACTCAAATTGAAGTTTTAGGATTACGGTAGTTTCCTTTTTTGAAATTTTAGAACCATGGTCGTTTCATTTTTTGAGAGTTAGGATTACTGTAGTTTTTCGGAACCTGAAGGTTGAGACAGTTTTTAAGTTAGGATTACTGTACTTTTTCAAAAATTGAGGAATACGGTAGATCTATTGTTGAACATAAGGATTACTGTAGTTTTGTGGAAATAATGATTACTGTAGTTTTACTTTTTTTAAGGCATGCTTTCATTTTTCAAGTCTGGGGGTTACTGTAGCTAAACTTGCACCCTTCCTAGCTGACATTCGGACATTTTACTTGTGAATAATATTTCTTTTCCACTATCAAAAATTACCAAAACCCAATTTTTAAGAATTTTTTGAAATTCTAGAAATATTCCAGGTCCCCGTCTACTCCATGGCTACCGTATTCGTGAATACACCTGGAAAACTGGAAGACCCTGCTCGTTTGAAACGTCTCAACGAGTTTGTCAGAGAAATGGAATCGATAAATGGAACATGGGGAGAAGGATGGGGAGAACTTGGAACCAAATACTTCATCAGAGATTACGACGTCTTTCAGCAGTGTGAGTTTTTTGAGGCCTCTACAAAAGTATTTCAAACTTTTTCGATTTGGCTGAAAATTTCAGAGAATACTAAACAAAACTAGAGCTTCATTTTTGTTGTTGACAACTTTTCTGGAAAATCAAGTCCTGAGGAGATATGCCACGTGGAAGCGTCCCTCTTTCCTGCAACGCGTGCGCAGGAGGGGGAGGGGGGTTCCGCTTCCACGTGGCGTATCTCTCCAGGACCTAATTTTTCAAAAAAGTTGACAACTACAAAATTAAAGATCACATCTTGTTTAGTGTATTCTGAAGTTTTCAGAAAAATCTAAAAAGCTTAAACATGTTTTGTAATTCCAAAACTTTTAGCATTCGGAAGTGAGGATGAGGACGAGGACTTCATGGACGAGGACAAACCAGTGACGGTGCATTCAGATGACAAAATGACATATCGAGAGGACGAGCTGAAATACTTCTTAAAGTGGCCAGAATACGATTTTTGGCAGGGATTTGTAAAGCTGAGAAATGCAACGAATTCGACGGATCCAGAGTGAGTCTTAAAATTTTTTGAAAGTTGAAATTTAGGGGGATGAATGTACGCTCAATTGAAAATTCCACAAGGGTAGACGCAGACAGTTAGAGTGTCTAGCTGTCTGCGCTCTCTCATCTCCCCATAATCTCTCGGATCCAAACTTCGAGACGAGCCGGGACAATGAAATTTGGACAGTCTTGTGTCGTTGTTTGATGTACTACGGTCCTTTTTGGCATTAAAAGAAAAAAAAAATTGTATTCCAAAATTTCCAAAATAACATTTTTCGAATTTTCCAGAGCCGAGGAGCTCGATCGATTCTTCTTCACTACTGGATATCATGGAGAGAAACTGACGGTGTGGACGGAAAGAGGAGAGATGTTGAGGGCTTGGAGAAAGGTTGTCGATAAGTATCCGTGAGTTTTTTTTTTCAATTTTCAGTTAAGAGGATTACTGTAGCTAGAGCCTGCTGCCCTGTCGATGTACCTTTGGACCTAATTATCTCAATTCCCATGAGAGCTATTTAAAAATTATAAACTGATAAAATGCAGAAAATGAAATTCTACATATTTTACTAGTTAATAACTTTTTGATATCTGTTTTAGAGACTACGAGATAATTAGAATCAAAGTTTGTTCAACTTGGTGATGCACCATGTAGGAGAGATTGACATTTTTAAGTCTAATTATCACGATTCTCAAAAAAGCTACTCAAAACCTGTTAACTAATGAAATGTAGAAAATTGAATTTTACACATTTCAATAGTTAAAATGTTCTTTCTATCTTTTTTTGAAAATTGAGAAAATTATCATTTCAAAACACTGGTTCAAAGCTTCCTCTATGCTCAATTATCCTCCTTCAAGCCTAATTATCTCAACTTCTATGAAAGTTGCATACAAATTTATAATTACTAAAATGTAGCTTATAAAATTCTACATATTTTACTAGTTGATAACTTTTTGATATCTGTTTTAGGAACCGAGATAATTAGAGTCAAATTTTGCTCAACCGGTAGATGCACCATGTAGGCGAACAAGGTACCTTTAACCGTAATTATCTTGATTCCCATAGCAGCTAGTTAAAAACGGTACACTGATAAAATGTATAAAATTAAATTCTACACATTTTTCTAATTAGCACTTTGTCTCTAGCTCTTTCCCAAATAGAGATAATTGACGTCAAAAAATTGACTCAATCCTCCCTTTTCCAGAGACTTCGGAGCATCTGTATACCATGAAGATGGTGTCTACCTGGACCTCATCGATAATATGCCAACTGACACGTGGCAATCAGTCCTAGGAACTCTTGTCTGCATGGCTCTCGTCTGTTTTGTCTTCCTCAACAACCTCTTCACCGTCGCCATCGCTTCCCTATCAGTCTTATCGATTTGCGCCGGTATTCTGGGAATTCTCTCCTGGTGGCACGTGGATTTGGACCCCATTACAATGGCTGCCATGATCATTTCCATCGGATTCTCTGTTGATATTCCAGCTCACGTCTCCTATCACTACTATCAAGCTTGTGAGTTAGCTTAAAATGACTTTAGATAGCTAAAAATTTAATTTCAGCTATCCAAGAGGGTCCCATGTCCCCTCCATCGTCTCGCCTGGCTAATTGTCTGTCATCAGTAGCGTTCCCGGCTCTTCAAGCAGCTCTATCAACAATTCTCTGTGTTTGCAGTTTGCTCTTTGTCAATTTGTACATGGCCGAGGTGAGTGGAATCTGGAAAAGTCCGTTACCGCCACTTTGAACCCATATATCTCGGTTCCTGTGAGAGATATCAAAAAGTGATCAACTAATAAAATGTTTATCATAATATCAGCAACATTTTATCAGTTGACACATTTTTGATATCTATTACACAAATCGAGATAAATTGATTCAAAGTTAGAAACGGCGGGCTGAGCTACTGCCGTCCTCTTAACGTTGAGCTGAATTATCTCGGTTCCTGTAAGAGATATCAAAAAGTGGTCAACTAGTAAAATGTTTATCATAATATCACAAATATTTTATCAATTGCCACTTTTTGGTATCTTTCACAGGAACTGAGATATATGCGCTCAAAGTATATGAGCTAGAGAAAGAGTGTTTACATTATTTTTGTGAAAATCCTAGGATCATTTTCAAGGCCTTTTTTTAAGCTTTCTTTTCTGTGACTTTCGAAAAAAAGTTGAAATTTCAGGTATTCGTAAAAACCATGGTCCTCTGTGTGGTACTTTGCAATTTGCATGGTCTAGTCTTCTTGCCTGCAATTCTTATTCTTCTGGATTCAATTCGATGGGCGTGTCGACCGAAAGGTACAAACTACAAACTACAAACTACAATCTAGGCTACAAACTAGACTATAAGCTACAACAAACTTTTTCAGAATCTCAAAACTTCTAATTATCGAAATTTCAGAACCAGACTATAAACTACAAACTACTAAATACTAAAATTTCAACTTTCAGGAGCCGCTGCTCAACGCCCGAAACTACCAAAAACGAATTCTCGGCAAAAACAGAAGAATGCAAAAGTACAACCGGAAAAGAGCTCCGTGACTGATCGGCCGGAAGTCTAACTTCCACTTGTTGATTTAATTACCCCTAATTACCCCTAATTACCCCCATCCACCAATTATCTCATGACACCAAACCTCTCTCTCTCTCTCTCCCTAAATTTAAAATTAAAACTTTGTCTGTCTAATAGATTTCCCTCCTCTTCCTGTCCATTTTTTTTCTGTTGTCTCGGGTACCCATTTCCCTTTTTTTGCTTCGAAAATTTTATAATTTTTTTAATTGTCTGAAAATTCGAATTTTCATATCCGCCGGTGATTTTGACACATCACTACTTATTTGTACAATTAGAGAACTGAATGAATACATTAGAATTGAATTTTAAATTTTTTTTAAATTTCGTAAAATTTGAGACACTCAAAAATAGACTTTAGATTAAACAATTTTTTTTGAAATTTTCAGAATACACTAAACAAGATGTGATCTTTAATTTTGTAGTTGACAACTTTTTTGAAAAATTAGGTCCTGAGGGGATATATCAGTTTTCTCAAATTAGGCCAATTTTGCAATTTGGTGAATATGACATTTTTCAGAAGTCTGAAAAGCAAGTTTAAACTTTTTCGATTTGTTTGAAAATTTCAGAATATACTCAACAAAATGTGATCCTTTTTCGTAGTTGACAACTTTTCTGAGAAATCCGGTCCTGAAGAGATACGCCACGTGGAAGCGGGATAACTCCTCAGGACTTGATTTTAAAAAAGTTGTCAACTACAAAAATGAAAGCTCAGCCAAATCGAAAAAAATTTGACCTACGCCGTCATCGAATGCAGTACAACACTCTGGAATCCTTCCTGACGTAATTCTCTCCCAGCAGAACACATTACACATTTTTTAGGGTTCGATTGAACATGGGTGACTTAAATGAATTCGAAATCTAAAACCATTCATCACGCATTACGCGCGTACTCATCTCTACTTGGCTCAATACATTAATGCTGGACCAAAAGTCAAATTTCTGCGTTACTCAAAGTCAACCTACATGTATTTTATCATGACTAGACAAGTAGACGGTATTCAAGCTGATAAAATGGTTGTAACCAGGGCGGGAAAACGCCGGCGGCCGCCGGCTTTCCGCCGTCTCACAGCGCAGCCGAAAACGGCGGCGAAACGCAGCGTTTTCAAAACACAGCCGCGCCGCGGCGCTGGCGTTCATGCTGTGTTTGCGCGAATTAGTTCAACTGTGTTTTTACAAATAAGTTCGAATATTGTAAATTCAAAAAGATCGCACCGGTGAACACACAAACAAACAAGTAAACAAGGGGGCGGAGCGATCCGCCCCTTTTCGCAAAGGCGCCGCGTAGTTTTTCGACGGTATTTTAGCGATGCCGTTTTTTGGTAATTTTTCATCGAATTTCTTCCGAATTGAAGGAAATAGTTTCTATGAATAAAATTGTACTTATTAAATTGGAAAAGAAAGATATGGAAAAGAGTTATGGAATCTGAAATCTGGAATAAAAACAGGCTTAATTATAGGTTTAGAATAATTCTTCATAACTTTGTTTCAACAAGAGAATGAGGTCGGAAATGTTGAAAAAATCGAAAAGAAAATTTTTTTTGGATTTCGAAAAAATGCCTTATAAAATGACTTAGCTTTTTTTTCGATCAAAAAAATGTTTGTCAATTTTTTGAGATTTTTTGTTAAGAAAACGTTTGACGTTCAATTTTAGTTACCGGATTCAAATATCAGATCGAGATCTCTTCTCGATACGAAGTTATGGACAAAAGCCTGAAACCGAATTTTGGCTTAAGTATAGGCTTAGAAAAATCCTTAATAACTTTGTTTAAACAAGAGATTTGGGCTTGAAATTTCGGGACATAGCTCAAAATTTTTTTTAGATAAAAAACACAAAAATTGCAGGTCGGACCCCTATCTATAGGGTTCCGGACCGCCCCGTTCGAACAGTTTATTATTTGAAGTAATTTTAAATAAAATTAATAGTTGAGGTTATAATAATCATTATGATAATAGGACGAATTCCAGTTGCTTTTCCCTTGCGAACTCTTCTGCGGACAATTTGACTGACACAGTTTCTGAAAACAAACAAATACGCATCACTTTGAGCTCAATTATCTCAATTTCTATAAGAGGTATCAAAAATGCGTAAACTAATAAATTGTTGGTGATAATATGATAAACATTTTATCAGTCAACAAAATTTTGATATCTTCCATAGGAACCGAGATAATCAAGCTCGAAATTCAAGTGCGCGGTTGACGCCGCCAGCTGCCTGTAGCTTGTCGACCGTGTAGCTCAATAGCTCAAAAACTAGGCTAGCTAGAAAAAGTTGTCAACTACAAAATTGTTTAGCATTAAATTTTACATAATTTTGTAGTTAACAATTATACTCTATCTAATCTAGTTTTTGAAATAAAAGCGTCTGAATTTCGCATGTGCAACTATTACCGTGAGCTCAATTATCTTGCACGTTTCGGCTTTGAAGAATGTTGTGAGACAATGCTTGGTGACCTAGAGTTTTTTTTTTGAAAAAATGGATACTTGAAGATAAAAAATGGCACACCAATCAATGTGGTTAGTTCAGCTGGAGGAGTGACAAGTTGATTCCGTTGGAGTATCGATTGTTCTGATCTACGTCCGTTACGTAATTCAGAAGAGCGTCCTCAAAGGCTATCGGACGGATCAAATACAGGTACTGACAACCTTCTCAACTAATCTGAACCAGTGGTCGTGTGTAGGGGAACCGAAGCTCACCCTACGTCCGATACGTAATTCAGAAGAGCGTCCTCGAAGGCTATCAGACGGATCAAGACGGACCAAAACAGGAATGGAGACAGATTGATGGGGTTAATAATAGAAAAATAAAAAAATAAATCATATTAGCAACATTTAACAAGCTTTTCTCTATTCTCCATCCACATCCAGATGAGTTTGTCTTCTTCTTCTCCGTCAAATTCGAGCTCATCCAGATGAGTTCGTCTTCTTCTTCTCCAGCTCCGTTTGTAATTCGCGAGTCGATAGGACTTCTGGAATGATGGAAGTTATATTATTTCGAAGTCCTTCCAATTATCTACAAAATGGTATAACTTTCATTTTCCTATCTCAATTTTGAAGCTAGATATGCGCCTTTAATCCATCTGACATGGTGCATCATCCCACCCTTCTGGAAGTTTGAAAGCGCAAAACTAGCTTCAAAATTGAGATAGGAAAATGGATGTTATATCATTTTGCAGATAATTTGAAGGGCTTTAAAATGATATAGCACTATTTATGGTTACTTTAATACTCTTAAAAAATCTTTACCTCTTCAGCTGACCACCTCATCTACGGTTTCCAATTCTCGCTGCGAATGGGTGTGGCGGTTCGAAGACTGAAGAAAAAAGAAAAATATCCAGAAAATTGTAGGTTGAATAAACTCATCTCATCCACCCTGGAGTAGTCCTTGATGCGCACAATTCTGTGGGGATCCGAAGATGGCGCCGACTAAAAAAAAAAAGAAATTGATTGAAAATTTTCCCCGAATTAAGGACAAAATTTGTCTAGAAAATTCATTTGAAAAAAGCGAAAGAAAAAAAATCAATATATGGATTTTTGATCTACACCTAATCGTTTTTTTTCTTTAGTATTTTTTCTGATCTCCAAAACAAGCGGTTGGTTTTGTCTTTTTTGAAGAGTACTCAAATGAGGGTAGAACGGCACCCGAATCGTCAAATTAGAGCCCATGTATTTCATTTTCTGTGAGAGATATCAAAAAGTGGCCAACTAACAAAATGTTGCTGATTTCATGATAAACATTTTATTAGTTTACAACTTTTTGATATCTTTTCCAGGAATCGAGATATATGAGCTCAAAGAATAGAGGTGGCGCTGTCGACCGCTCTCGACCAGCTCATAGTCAGGCGGCAAGCGCAGGCTTCTAAACTTTGAACCTATATAACTCGGTTCCTGTGGAAGATATTAAAAAGTGGCAAACTAACGAAGTTTTTATCAGAATATCACCAACATTTTATCAGCTGGCTAATTTTCGATATCTTTAAGAGGAACCCAGATAATTGAGCTCAAAGTTGATGGTTTCAGCGGCATCGTCAAAAATTGATTTTTAAAAAGACATCGTTTTTTTCTTATGAATTTCAAATCACATGAAAAAAGTCGTTACCTGAATAGCTGACAAGCTTAGCGTTATCTCCATTCTTGTTGCAAATAGTGTCGGCTCGAAAACTGGAAAAAAATAGGAAAATTATCTAAAATTGTGAGGAAAAGAGTTACCTCATTCATCCTGGAGTGATTCTAGACGTCCCGATTTTTAGTGTTCCGAAGGATGCTGTCAGCTGGAAAACAAAAATTAATTAGTTAATAAAAAACCTAAACTCTGAATGGAACACAGGAAAAGGAATAAATATCATCATCATTCTTAAAATCAAGAAATAGAGAGGTGTCTCTTTTATTCTTTGTATGTCATTGATTTTTCCCAGGGGACAAATCTGCCTGACCTAATTTTTGGGTCTGGCAGGTTCTGAATCCCAATTCAAAAACGTTTTTTTTCTAGATTTTAGATATCAAAATTAGTTTCCAAATTAAAGTAAAAAAATTAAATAGCAGAGAAAGGATATCGCGCCGTAGGCGCCCCAGTCGGACGTTTGAAGCGGCAAAACTTGAAAATTCGGTTGAAACGAGCGAAGGAAAAAAATCAAAATGGAAATTATGAGTAGATTTTTGATCTACAAACAATATTCCAAAAAAAGTTGAATTTGAAAAATTAGACAAAAAAAGTTTTCTTGATCTACCTAGTTTTTTAAATTTTGAATGGCCTAGATTTTTTTCCCAAATTTTTCGTACTAGTAGAAAAAATCTGAAATTTCAGAAAAAAATGAACAATATTAAAAGAAAAAAAACCGTAAACACTCTAATAGAACGCCACCCAAGCTATCAACTCTGAACTCATATATCTCCATTTCTGTTAAAGATATCGAAAAGCGTTCTACTGACAGATTGTTTATCATAATATCAGCAACATTTTATCAGTGGACCACTTTTTGATATCTCTCAAAGGAAATGAGATACATGGACTTAAATTTGACGATTCGGGTGGCGCTCTATTAGAGTGTTTACGGTAGTTGCAAGCGAACCGACTGATAACATTTCAATAGTACGAGATATTCAGACAGTGCCAATTGATAGATCTTGACAGGGCCCATCATGCCTATATCATTCAGGCCTGATTTCATTCCGGTAACATACCGCAACCCGGATTCTGTCTCTAATGATCTTTCTTTTCTTAGAATCCCAAATTTTCCAGATTTTTCAGACTCTCATCTTTTTTAGCCCAGTTTATCTCGGTTCCTGTAACAGATATCAAAAAAGTGATTAACTGACGAAATGCTTTTGACATTATGATGAACATTTTGTCAATTGACCACTGGGAATATTTTTGCGTTGAGCGATTTCGAATTGAAATTTAGACATTTACATAGAACCAAAATTTACATAGAACCAAATATAGAAACAAAAAGAAAATTCTGAATTTCAGGGGTCTGAAAATAGGTGTTATTGCAGAACCCCCCTCCCCACCTAGTTTTTTACCTCGATTCCTGTTAATCAAAAAGTAATCAACTGATAAAATGTTTTTGATAGTATGATAAGCATTTTGTCAGTTTATCACGATTTGATACCTTTTACAGGAAATGAGATATACGAGCTCAAAGTTGACGGCCCGGGTGGCGTTCTATTAGATTGTTTACTATATTTTTTTGAAATTTTTTTCATAGTTCATTTTTTTATCAGTTGACAATTTTTCGATATCATGTTTAGGAACTTAGATTTTTCAACGGTACAGTAACCATCTGATAGGCTGTTACGGTACCTCCAAAACCTTTTGTTCCTAATTATCTAGTTTTCTATAATTAATATAAAAAAATGAAACATAGTAAAACAAGGTAAACAATATAAAGGTTTTCATTAGTTAATCACACTTTTGTAACATAATTGCAAACCTAGATAATTAGGAGCTGAGAGTTAGAAGATGTACCAATTTGACCGTAATTATCTCAGCTTCTAGAAAAGGTTCAAAAAAATAACCAACCATTAAAATGTTTTAAATTCGATTTTACACATTTTATTAGTTGGTCACTTTTTGGTATGTCTTACAGGAACAAAGATATTTTAGTTTTAAGTGACAAAAGGCGCCCTATTGATAAGGATGATGCATTCTTTAACATCATATCATGGGTTTGAAAAATAGAACAAAGCAAAAAAATGCATAAATATGAATTTTGAACACTTTATCAGTTGACTTTTTGGAAATTCATCTTCTAGGAACTGAGATATTCGGGGTCAAATTTACCGGTTCTTCGGTAGAGGAATGGCGGCTCATTAGGAAGTTGGAATGACATTTTAGCTATTATCTCAGCTCCTAAAAGAGATACAAAAAAGTGATTAACTAATTAAAGGTGGGGGGAGATGAAAAAAATAATGTTCTCGAAATTCCGCTTAAATATGCCCCTCGAGGAGTTGAACTTGTGGGGGCGAGGATTGAGGGCGCGACGCCGCTACCGACTGAGCTACGCGGACAAAGAGAAAACGGCAGCCCGATTGCATACATAAAGGCGAGGACGACAGCTGTACGCAGAGTGACATTAAGCGTTGTACACTGTTACGGTAGAATGCATACTCTGGCCCCAAAAATCCCCCGTAAAATCTCCTGTCCCCCACCTTTAAATATAGGAAATTTAATTTTGCACATTTTGCTAGTTAACCCTTTTTTGATATCTTTCGCAAGAAGACGGATATTTCAGTTTAAACCTATTCCATCTAAAAATCTAGGAAATGTAAACACAGAAGAAAAAAGCAATTTTACACATTTTATTAGTTGGTTAATTTTTGATTAGAAATAAAAATCCCTCCGTGCTAGGTACCAAGAATTCTGAAATCCTGCTAATCCCCAAATCCACTTTATCATAGTTTATCTATAGAAAATACCAACAAAAAAATGCAAAAAAGACTAAAGTTCGCTTATCCCAATTAATATTTTCTTTCAAAAAAAAAAGTTGGAGTTCTTTTTTCCCCTTTTAATGCAATTTTCTTTTTTTATCCCCCCGTTTAATCTGTTGTCACAAATAATAAACTATACACATATCACTCTCAAGGATGTATATATGTTTTCTATTTTCTATTTTTACATGTTTTTTTTCTTTTTTCATCTTATTTTACCTGAAAATTAGGTTCGCTTTTTTCTTCTGTATATATATTTTTTTTCTACTCCCTTATTTTTAGATGGATTATGTTTGAACTCAAATATCTGGCTCTCTGTGAAAGTTATCAAAAAAGGGTTAACTAGCAAAATGTGCAAAATTAAATTTCCTATATTTTATTAGTTAATCTCTTTTTTGTATCTCTTTTAGGAACTGAGATAATAGCTAAAATGTCATTCCCACTTCCTAATGAGCCGCCATTCCTCTACCGAAGAACCGTTAAATTTGACCCCGTATATCTCAGTTCCTAGAAGATATATTTCCAAAAAGTCAACTGATAAAGTGTTCAAAATTCATATTTATGCATTTTTTTGCTTTGTTCTATTTTTCAAACCCATGATATGATGTTAAAGAATGCATCATCCTTATCAATAGGGCGCCTTTTGTCACTTCAAACTAAAATATCTTTGTTCCTGTAAGACATACCAAAAAGTGACCAACTAATAAAATGTGTAAAATTTAACATGCTTTATCAGTTTATTACTTTTTTGAACCTCTTCTAGAAGCTGAGATAATTACGGTCAAATTGGTACATCTTCTAACTCTCAGCTCCTAATTATCTAGGTTTGCAATTATGTTACAGAAGTGTGATTAACTAATGAAAACCTTTATATTGTTTACCTTGTTTTACTATGTTTCATTTTTTTATATTAATTATAGAAAACTAGATAATTAGGAACAAAAGGTTTTGGAGGTACCGTAACAGCCTATCAGACGCCCATCCCTCTCCCCAAATACCATCAACTTTGAGCTCGTATATCTCATTTCCTGTAAAAGGTATCAAATAGCGATAAACTGACAAAATGCTTATCATGCTATCACAAAAATTTTGTTCGTTGACTATTTTTTGATATCTGCTACAGGAACCGAGATAAATTGGGTCAAAGTTGAAAACTAGGTGGGAGGGGGGGGGGGGGGAGGGTTCTGTAATTTAAAACCTATTTTCAGACCCCTAAAATGTACAATTTTCCTTTTGTTTCTATATATATAACTTTTGGTTCTGTGTAAATTTCTAAATTTTAATTCAACATCGCTCAACGCAAAAATATTCCCACGAAAATCAGAGGAGAGAGGGGTAACACATGGAATTAAATAGACACATTTGAACAAGAGGGGGATTATAATTATGGGTTT